GTACTGGGTATCTACCCAGAGGGAAAGAAGTCATTATATGAAAAAGACACTTACACACACATTTATAGCAGCACCATTTGCAATTGCAAAAATATGTAACAAGTGTCAATGTCCATCAACAAGCAAGTGGATAAAGAAAATGTGATATATATATATATATATATATCTCGCCATGGAATACTGCTCAGCCATAAAAAGGAACAAAATAATGGCATTTGTAGCAACCTAGATGTTAGAGACCATTATTCTAGGTGAAGTAACTCAGGAATGGAAAACCAAACATTTTATGTTCTCACTTAAAAGTGGGAGCTAAGCTATGAGGATGCAAAGGCATAGGAGTTATATAACGAACTTTGGGGACTTGGAGAGAAGATGGGCAGGGGGTGAAAAATGAAATACTACACATTGGGTACAGAGTATGCTGCTCAGGTGATGGGTGCACCAAAATCTCAGAAATCACCACTGAAGAAATTGTCCATGCAATGAAACATCACATTATCCCCCTAAAACAACTGAATGAAAATAAAAATAAAAATTAAATAAAATAAAAAACAAAGGCAAAAAGTCATGGGGGAAATGGGCTCCACTACAGGGACTCCTGACAAAAGATTATTAATCTTTGTGTAACTGTTGACTTCGGCAAGAAACTTACTCTTAAACTAAGAATGCTTTTGTTGGCCGGGCGAGGTGGCTCACACCTGTAATCCCAGGACTTTGGGATGCCGAGGTGGGCGAATCACGAGGTCAGGACATCGAGACCATCCTGGCTAACGCGGTGAAACCCTGTCTCTACTAAAAATACAAAAAAAGTAGCTGGGTGTGGTGGCGGGCGCCTGTCACCACGCCCAGCTACTCCGGAGGCTGAGGTAGGAGAATGGTGTGAACCCGGGAGGTGGAGCTTGCAGTGAGCCGAGATTACACCACTGCACTCCAGACTGGGCAACAGTGCGAGACTCCAACTCCAACTCCAAAAAAAAAAAAAGGAATGCTTTTGTCCTTTAGATGTGGGATATCAGGATATTTCCTGGCTTTGTTAAGTTCTGGGTCTGTTTAGCAAACATTATTCATCTATTCCCTTAACTGTAAACATTTTGTCACCAAGAATGCTCATCCTTCTGGGAATGCAACCCAGCAGGTCTCAGCCTCATTTTATCCAGCCTCTATTCAAGATGAAGTTGTTCTGGTTCCCATGACTCTGATATAACAATAATTTTACAGCAATTAGTTACAAAAGACTAATGTATTCACCAACTAAGATCCCTCTGGCAAACTTTCTCTTATTTTGGAGTTGGCAAAAAGCATAAGATTTATGACCAGCCAGAAAAAGCAAAGGTATTATATTGTGGTATCCAGCAAGATAATAATTCTACAGATTTGTCTTTCTTGCTTAATTACATATGGAAAGCTTCTAGAACAGGTACTGGCACATACTTGGCACTCCAGTCAATAAATAAATTTTGAATAAATAAATTTTGTTTTCTAGGTGAACACTAGTATTAACAGAATTTAAGATACTTCCTGGTAAAAGTTACAGTTTAAATCTTTTCGATTATACCATGTTTTTTGATTCTTTTCAGTATGTTCTTATATTTTATTTGATCCTAACAGTAATTCTAGAGATGAATAAAGAAAGTGTGATTGATATATTTTGAGAATCAAAAAGAGAATCAGCGAAGGGAGATAGGGGTGAGGCCATTTTATAGGATTTGGGTGGGTAGTGGGAAATTACAGTCAAAAGGGGTTATTCTCTGGCTGGCAGGGGTGGGGGTCACAAGGTGCTTAGTAGGAGAGCTTTTGAGCCAGAATGAGCCAGGAGAAGGAATTTCACAATGTAATGTCATCAGTTAAAGCAGGAACAGGCCATTTTCACTTATTTTGTAGTGGAATGTCATCAGTTAAGGCAGGACAGGCCATCTGGATGTATATGTGCAAGTCACAGGGGATACGATGGCTTAGCTTGGGCTCAGAGGCCTGACATTCCTGTCTTCTTATATTAATAAGAAAAATAAAATGAAATAGTGGTAAAGTGTTGGGGCAGTGAAAATTTTGGAGGGTGGTATGGAGAGATAACGGGCGATGTTTCTCAGGGCTGCTTCGAGTGGGATTAGGGGCGGCATGAGAACCTAGAGTGGGAGAGATTAAGCTGAAGGAAGATTTTGTGGTGAGGGGTGATATTGTGGGGTTGTTAGAAGGGACATTTGTCTTATAGAATTATTGGTGATGGCCTGGATACGGTTTTGTATGAATTGAAAAACTAAATGGAGTAAGAGAAAGAGAAAAACAGGTATTAAAGGACTAAGAACTGGGAGGACCCAGGACATCCAATTAGGGAGTGCCCAAGGGAGTTCAGCATAATTACTTGGCTTGGTTGGTGAGTTTTCAGGCTCTATCCAAGTTTTTGGGGTGCATTTCAAGTTGGGCTGGTGTCTGGAATGAGACTGGGGCCTAATAAAAAGGAGTGTCTATACAGAATCTCAAATGGGCTGAAACCTGTAGCATTCCAAGGACACTTCTACCAACTTCTTTTTGATAAAACAGATATTTTTAAGGCATCAGAATTTACTGTTAATTGAAAAATTTTCATGATTTTAAATAATCTAAGAACCATAAATAGCATTACCTTGTTTCATGAAAATAGTTTACAAAAATAGTACACTATATGAAATCCTCAATTCTTATTGATAAATATGTAGTTAAAATAGAATCTTTATGGCTTGACGAAGCCTTTTTCTATCATTAAAACTATCTGAGAATAGGCTCTATTCATTAAGTTAGTTATTTAAATTAAGGAGATTCAAGTACTGATTATTTGTTTATCCTTTTGTTTAAAAATGAGTAACCATGCTCTAACTCCTAAATAATTTTGTTTTCTAATGTAATACATTAACTTTTATTACCCCAAATATGATACACGGAACTCAAGCTTTTATAAATAAGTGTTAGTTACAAATAATATCCAAAGTCCATTGTTTGTAATGGTTTGTTAAATAACATTAAACAGGATTTTGTTGTTATTGTTTCTCATTTAGATTAGCTTTGCTTCAGTTTAAATGAGAACAGCTTAGAATATTTAATATACCAATGCAAAGTGTGATGTCTAAAATTGTAGGTATAACAAACAGTATTTCCCTAATCTATTTGAACATGAAAAAAAGTTTCTCCCCTATAGGGCATCTTGAGAAATTACTGTTCATGGATCACACTCAGAGTTGTAATGGCCGAGGACTTTATCATATATTTAGCTAACTCTTCTGAATTAATGGTTGTACTTACTGGTTTCTGTAATTCATGGTTCTTTCACTATTTTAGATTGTTTCAACTATAAGGGAGTAAATAGATAAGTTCAGTGTTCATGCAATTTTTATTAAATAAAATGAAAATAGGAAAAGCAAAAAGGGAATGCTAATCTACTTTTTATCTGGTTCATTATAAGGTAGTGCAAGACACCCTTAGATCAAGCATGGGATACACAGATACGGTTAAACAGTCTGGTTTACATTTGTTTACATTCAGAGTTAAACAGAATGTGTTTCTTTCAGTGATTTATAATTCACATTTTGTAAATACTATCTTCTATCTGTGTGCATCTATAATTACATTGTTAGAGTATTTAACTATAATATATTACTCTAATGATTGTGTAGCCAATAAGCCCATGTGCATGCAGAGATAATTAGCTTATTGCGAAAATACAGAAGAAAGGCAATCAAAACCCGTACCTAATGGTCAACCAACTGAAGGGTCTTAATTATGAAATATTAGCCAACTGAGGACATGGTTTGGAAAAAGTTACCTTAGCAAAAAGAAAAAAGGAAACAAAGCAGATAACAGATACAAGAGGCATGTCCATGAGCATGGGCATGTCTATGAGCATACTATTATGATTCATACCAGATCTCATCATAGATGAGAGGCCACATGAGTTAACCATGATACAGCAGAAGACAGGATATGGGAAAGAAGATCTGTTGACTTTAGTCTTGGAAGATTCTACTTTGAGTGGCAATTTTAAAGAATATCAAGAATATTATATTTCTTTCCCTTATAGATCCAGTCTCACTCCTTGATTCTCCATTGGATGCTTGTTTACATGTTCTCACATTTTAAATGCTGTATAAAGACCTTCCACTTTTAAAAACCATATAGACAAAGTGTAGAGGATAGGTATAACTACAAATTGTAACAAAAATATTGAATATTAATTTATGTAAGAATTGCTATATACTTTGATGTACATTAGTCTGTATATATGTAAAACTCAAATACTTATATAAAATTAAAGTTTAAATTATAAAAATAGATAACTGAAGATTTGCTGAGGAGAGGTTGAAAAAAGTATAAATACTCTTTACCTTCTTGAACTTCTCCCACAGTTTTTCCAAAGGCTGCAAAGCTATTATTTACGTCTGGTTCCCTAGAAGCAGACCTGCAATAGGAAATTTTACGCTATTGATTTATTAACATAGTGTTTTCAGGAGAAACAAGTAAGGGAGTGACGGAAGCAAGGTGGAGAAGGAGAAGGAGCTGCAAAGATGTGCTTTCAGGTGAAGACTAAGTTCGTTCTGATCCCCTGTGAACTTGGACCACAAATGATGAGACAGTTTGTCATTCCCTGAAGTCAGAAAGCAGGGCTTTTTGTGCACCTTCAACCATGGATTGCAAGGTGGAGAGAGAGAAAGGGGGCACCAGTATAATACCCAGTCACTTTTAGGAAGGTGAGTGTGATAGTTAATTTTATGTCTCAACTTTACTGGGTCATGGCACACCAAGGCATTTGATTAAACGTTAATCTGGATGTGTCTGTGAGGTTGTTTCTGGATGAAATGAACATTTTTGTAGACTGAGTGTAGTAGTTTGCTGCCTTCCCCCACCCAACAATGTGGGTGGGGCTCATCCAATCAGTTGAAGGCCTTACTAGAACAAAAATGCTGAGTAACGGGGGAAGTCCTCCTGCCTGACTACTTTGAACCGGGACATGTGCCTTTTTTTTCTGCCTTCAGACTCAAACTAAACATCATCCTTTCCTGGCTCTCAATCCTGCTGGTCCCTGAACTAAAACACACATTATCAACTCTACTTGTTCTTAGTCCTTTGGAGTCAGACTGGGACTACACCATTGACTCTTCCGGAACTCCAGCTTACTGACTACAGATCTTGGAACTTTTCAGCTTTCACAACCATGTAAGCCAATTCCTTTCTAATAAATAAGCCTCTCTCTATATATACGTACTACTGGTTCTGTTTCTCTGGAGAATTCCAACTAACGAGGTGAGAAATGGCTTCTATAACATAAATGAAAAGCTCCGGAAAATACTGGTCTTAGAGTAAACATTGTTTTTTATGAAATGTTTCCTGTGATTTAACCCTATATTTACTGTCTAAATTTATCTTTCTAAAATAATTTTCAGGATTCTAATTTCACTAAATGTTTACACAGGTACCCTATCATTCACTTTCAACAAAGCTATTCTATATACTAAATTGCCGCTGTGTTCTTTTTGGAAACCTAACATTTAGAAAAATCCAAAAGATGATCTATCTGTTACTTAAACCTGAAACACTTAAATCTATCTATTACTTAAATTTATCTATTACTTAAAGCTGAAATGCTTACTTTTTAGCAAACATTTACTTTGTTACCTATTTCTGAGAGTGCAAAAGCTTCCTTTGAAAATGAGACATAAAATCAAGAAATGCAATTAAAGCTTTAGGACTGGAAATTTCTTAGAGATTATCTTGTTCAATATACTTTTTTTTCATACAAGTAAAGTGAGGGAGAATATGATGTCAGTAAGCCATAGGGGACATATGGGAGAAAACTTTTTACTTTACATTTTTAAGTTTTAACACCTTGATCAGCAATTATTTTTAGCTGGAGCTTAGTATAAAGTCATTTATATACCATACATTTTTAATGTTGAAATCTTATTGCTTATGGTTCTAACTTCAACCAAAAAATGCCTCAGATGCAATTTGCCAGTAAATATTTTATTAAAAGAATGTATCCTTCATAGAGAACAGATTATCATGAACATAATGTAGTCATTGTTTTTACAACAATTTGTTACTACAAACCTTTGAAAAAATAGTAATGGTGGTTGATAAAAATATCGACATAGCCATATTAACACATTTCATCAGATATCCCTGTGAGGTCAGTACTTTCATTAATCTATTTTCATTAACATATGAGTAAACTGTGGTGTCTGAATTCAGTTATTCTGGCTCACAAAATGGTCTTATCAACTACTATATTCTTCTCTAGAGCAAACATATTATCAACACTGAAACTATTGTTTAACTCATTGGAATATACACGTAAACCATTTTCATACATATTTGCTGGAAACTTATATGAACTAAATACTATTTCACCACTTTTCTTGTTTTGGTTATGAAATAAAACAATGAAAAATCATTGGGTGTAACCTAGTGAGCAAGTGGAAAATCATGTACTTTAGTCCTTCTCTTAATCAGTGTGTAAGTAATAAAACTTGCTATATAATATGAAGGTGATGATCTTTATCCACTGTCAAAGGACATGTATGTGGGGCTACTTTTGCTGTAAATAAAGGATTACATAAGCTACACTTATTATTCTTAGGAAAAAGTACAATGGCACAGAAATTAGGAGGCCCTGGGTTTAATTTCTGCTCTGTGAGTAGTTATCTGACTTTAGCCAAGCATTTAGCTCTATGAGAATCATTTTCCTCTTCTTGAAAGTGAAGAGGTAGGAGTTTTGACCTAGATCAGCTTATAGATTCTTTCTAGGTCTATTCTAACATTCTATGAGTCTATGATCTAGACCTCATTAATGGTCTGCTATTAGTACTAGTCATGCCCAAATGAAATATATTAAGTTGCATTTTGTATGTGATAGGTACTGCCAGATTTTAGATTCGTACTTTTAATTTATATTTTGAGATCCTCTTCTACCTTCTCTATGCTTTTTAAGAAAGCTTTACTCTTAGAAAAGAAAATACATGGATTGATCGAGATCATTCAAAAATTTTTAAATTATTTTACAAATTAGATTATAAAGATTAAACCTCATTAATAAGAATAAATTAAATGTTTAAAGGTTAGAAACAGACATCAGATTGGACAGTATAGCAGTTCCCTATCTGAACTGGAAAGAAAAATAAAAGTAGTATTATACTTTATCCATGTAGGAAAGTTATATAACATGTCAAGAGTGAAGAATGAGTTTGGAAAAGTTACTCTTCATGGCATTCTTTTACTGTGAACCTCGAATGGTGTGCTTGAGCCGTTGGAAGCAGGCTGAAACAATTGGAAAACACTGAATTAGTGGGAGGTAAGGGCGGTATCTGCAACAGCTGAAGTAAAATGAACTTTTCTGCAGAGTAAAGCAGCTTAGTTACAACCCTCAAAGCTCAAACGTCAATCCATTCCCAAGCAGGACAAGTGTGGGTGATATATGGAAAGGCTATTTTAAAATCCGCTTGAGCTTGCCAATCTGGAGATTTGCCCAGGAAAGAGAGCCTCAGAAAAATCACGATGCAAACAAGCAAATTTTATCAAATTTATGCAGAACTTGAGAGTCACAGAAACTAATTGGACAGAATCCCATCTAAGATTTCATCATTAATAATTACTATGACAGATAGTTATTTTAACTGTCTTTTCTCTCATGTCTGTTTCAATGACTTAATAAGTATGTGTATTTGTTTTGTGCAATATTATCATGGAAAAAATACTTTCCCAACATGTCCTTATAAAGCTAATTCTGTTCTTTTGGACCTTGCTGAATCTTACATCATTTTTCAAATATGGCTATGCTGTCAAATAGAAGTGGTAGGGACATTTTTTTCTAAAGTCAGAGCATTTCATTTTGAATGCTCAAGAAAATCACAAAAGCCAAGCGTCGCTTTCTTTTAAAATAAAGGTTTGTTTAACATCTTGCATTATGCAAAATATTTAAGTGACATTAAATAATTGTGAATACTTTCTGTAATATCAACAGAATATTTTTGTCCACAAAGTGATGTCAATATATTGAGTGAAACACTCTGTATTAAACATAATATTAATGCTTATTGACTATGTATGTTAATGTCTTTTGCAGACATCAGTTGAATCACTATGACTTATTCTAAATGAGATATTTTTAATGAAAATGTATCACATAGACAAGCTAAACCATTTCCAGGAATATTGTAACAGCTTCAAAAGAAGATACTATAGTGTTAAAGGGAAGCATATGATTCTTGATGTTAGTGCCAGAGAGCTATAGTTTTAATGTGTTGAATCACTACGAGTGATGACATGAATGATTAGAGTTTGTAATAACAACTTAATTTGAAAGAAGGAGATTCTCTGATTCAGGAACTTACTAAAATTTCTCAACAAGTGATAAAGAATGAAAATATGACAAAAAAGTTTTCAGATAACTTAAAAAAAACTTCAGGTATAATGATTATTTTTGTAAGCAATAAGATAGATTTGAGTTGATGAAAGTACTCCAGATGGAGTGTAAGTAGTATTTCATTCCTGCAGAAAACATTTCGTATTTAGTTATTGAGATGGTTATCTTAAAGACATTTATTTAAGATGCTAAATTCTGGCATGTGAAATTACAGTGCTATTTGATGACAGGTAGATCAACAAGATTAGGTTATATTTATTAACAATTGAGAAATTAAAACATAGTGGAATGCACAGCAACCAAATTAGGATAAAATTCCCTGAACGTTTAATTGGCCGGTACTCTTTTGGAATATATTAATATTGATGCACTCACTTTAAAAGACCAGCATTAACACTATCAACCCAATCATCATAGATCACTGTTGATAACCAGACAGCAATTATTACGGCACATTGTCAGTGAAGTTATTATTTTAGATTATATGATGATGTGGCTTGGAATAAATTCTAACTAATTATAAGAAATTGAAAGAGGCAACATTCAAATTACAAATGATGTTTAATAAAAGGGCTCACTTGGAAAATGCTAGAAAGTAACCTCTTTTACTTGGCATCATTTAACCATCTCTAAACTTAATACAATGTGTACTTTTTTTTTTTTTTTCCAGTGAGTGCATAGGACATAAATTTCTTTTGAATCAATTTTGTTTTCAAAACTTTGCAGTTAGGAATTGATTTGGCATGAAAAAAATATATTTTTTCAATAGCTCTCATTCAAACTTTAGTGAAATAATTTTGTAATTGGTTGTTTAATGGTGAGCATTCAGCAACTACTATTACCATGATTAAAAGTTCTGTGAAGAAGGGATTGGTGTCTGCCCTGTGAACCAGAGACCCAGCACCTACCTTACACGGTGTACAGTCCCTCAATAAGGAATTGCTTATTAATGAAATGAATGCACAGGCCCATAGCTAGTAACTGGGAGGAAAGGGGATTCAAGTCAAACTTCTGACTTCATGTGCAGAGACTAATATGAATTTGTATGCAGCAAGATACAAGCATCCAATTCATGGATATGTTTCTCAATGAACTCAAACATTACTATTGAATAAACTATGTGCAAGATGAATAGCTTGACCAAATCAGTCTGTCATTCTTGTGGCATGATTTCATGGTTTGCTGTTTATGGAAATGCCTTTAAGTTATAGTTTATATTACATATGACTCCAGAGAGTTCATGGCTAGGGCCACTGATTTAATTCTCAGAGGAAAAATTAGATTTTCCAGGAAAACCTTCTTTTTCCCCCCCATAGTTTGTAACCTCAACTCTATATGAAAATGTCTGTCTTGTTCTAAATGAAATCTTGGGTTAAATGTGAGCAGCCATTAGGCTTTTTCATTTCAAAATCTGAATCATCAGTTGACCAATTGGGTCACTGTTAAATTATTTTAAATATTACTAAATCCACTTTTGGTTCTAAATTTATACTGTATTAATAGCAACCAAGTGATATACATTTTATCCCTTTTAATTCTGAAAAAATCTTCCATGAGATAAACGTTAGCATCCCAACAGGAGAAATGTAGAAAATGAGACAGATAATTCAGATCAAAGTCTGCCCAATTTAAACAATTAATCAAGTTATTATTCTACAGTAAAATAAAGACAGTAATAAATAGACGGATCACCCTTAATCAACACAGAATTAAACTACCTAGGTTCACTTATACTCAAAAATTTTTTCCACCAAACAAATAAAACCTTTGTGGTATGCAAACCTGCCTATACATA